TTCCGCTGATCTTGTAGCCGTTGTCTGTTCGTGTGGCCTTTGTGGCGAGCGCGAAGGCATCGGATCCGGATACGGGCTCTGAGAGACAGAAGGAACCGACTGTGTTGGTGGCGAGCTTAGGAAGCCATTCCTTCTTGAGCTTCTCGGAGCCGTACTTGAGGATGGCCGTGTTGACCAGTGTGTTGTGGACGTCGCACATGACGCTCACACTGGGGTCGACGCGCGCGAGCTCCTCGATGGCGATGATGGCCGATGTGAAGTTCATGCCTGAGCCGCCGTATTCCTCGGGTATCTCGATGCCCATGAGACCTTGCTCGAAGAGCTGCTCTACTACTGCCGGGTCCATCGCTTCGGCCTCGTCCATGGCTCGCGCCTTGGGCAGGATGGCTTCGTTGGCGAATTTCGAGACGGACTCGCCCATGAGCATCTCCGTCTCGGACAGGTGCGTGATGGGCGTCGGTGGCACATCTGAGATGTCAATCGCTTCCCGGCGGGCGGCAGTCGTAGAGAGGCATCGTAACCTGGGTGGCCATGGTGTTAGTCTTGTGTATTGTCGCCGTTGTGGTGTATACATACTGCGGGGCGGCGCGGGCAGCCGGTCGCAGCGAACGCGACGAAGCGGTAGCAACGCGAGTGAGGGGTCTTATTGAACGCGAGAAAGAAGCCATATTTGCAATATTGGTTGAGAGTTGAGGAAACGAACGTGGCAGTCGTGAAAGTCAACGACGGAAGCCCGCCGCTCACATGCCGAGGCAGCTTAAAGTTAGCCGGCGCAGGCCGCACCATGCATGCCCATATGTCCGGGGTTGTGGAGAACGCCCGTCACATGTCAGCCGCCACCAACCATTCACGCACTGTGCCGCTGCGCTGCTGCAGAGCCGCATGCTGTCAGATCTTAACCACACAACATCAAGCCGTGGTAAGTGAATTGCAAACTAAATACTAAGCTATAGCCTTGGTCGACAACTAGCAGCGCAAGGGTATATGAAAAGGACGGCATGCAAGAAACAAAGAAATCAACTGGTCGTAACACTGACATGACAAGGGAACAACAGCCTCTATTCAACAAGGAAAGCTGCCTTCCAGCTGCAAGAAAACCCCTTCCTATTAAGAATTGTTATATCCGCAACTCCAACTACGCCCCCCCTCGTGGCTCCTAGACGCGGTTGTTGGACCCCATGGCAAACCTGCCGGCCTGCATCTGTGCCTTGTACTCGCTCAGCTCGGCAGCCTCCTTCTGCTCTTCGGCGAGGAGTGCTTGCGCCTCCTTCCTGCCTGCGCGACGCTGCTTGATGCAGCAGAAGAGGATGATGATGGAGGCAATGGCTACGAATCCGAGGATACCAGCGATGATGCCGATCTTGGCGCCCTTGGAAAGGTCGTTGAAGCGATTCCTGACTCCGTGGGGAGACTTGATCTCTTCGAGGGTTTCGGATTTGCCCCTGTATTCTGTTAGCTCTGTGCTGTTTGAGACCCAGACGTGATGAACTTACTGAATGACCTTGACCTTCTCCCAGTCGCCAGATGCGTCCATGCCCTCCCACGAGTACTTGGCAGCCTTGGTGTAGTCTTCCGCGTAGACGGACTGGATCGTCATGATGTAAGGACTCTTGTCGAAGTCTGTCACGCCACCAGCCCACTCAATAACACCAGGGTCGTTCTTGTTGGGGTCACCCGCAGCCCACGATCCGAGACGGATGTTCATTGGTGTTTGAGGGTAACGAGTGCCGTTCTTAGCCTCCTCCGGGGTGAGCTCCCTGACCTCCTTGTCGTCCACATACCACTTGATGCGGTCCTTCGTCCAGTCGATGGTGTAGTTGTGGTAGTCGTCCTGGGGTGCGAAGCCAAGATCAAAGTCCTTGCCGCGGTCGTAGGTCTCGGTGTCGCCCTTGCCGAAGTAGTTGGTCAGGATCATCTTGTCGTCGCCGCGGAACTCCCAGTCGATCTCGTCGAGCGCCTCGGACTGCAGGATGGCACTGGAGATGATACCCTTGCCGGTAGCCACCTTCATGACTACCTCGAGGCGGCCGAAGAGCATGTAAAAGACCGAGTTCGCCGTGGGAGAGTCGCCGGATCGCTCAATGGCAAAGGTCGCGCCCTTCTCGTTCCAGTCGATCTTGCCCTGGTTGGGCATGCGCCAGATCTTGTCGTTGTTCGGGATACCAGTCTTGTTCCAGTTGAAGGTGGCGTTTCCGCCGAGCGCCTCCATGTCGGGACATCCTGTGGTGTTGAGCGGGTTGCCTGTCTGCGTCAGTACGTCTATCGCAAGTAGACTTCAAGTCGCGTACAGTCGGTGTGAGTCTGCGCAGTGGTGGTCGAGATAAGGCCTGCGATAAGCGCAGCCGTGGAAAGGGCGAATGACTTCATCTCGGCGTATTACGATGATCTGTAAGCACGATGTGTAAAGAGCGTGGTAGTGCGCGTAGACCAGACGCGCTGTTGGTGTTTGTAGCAAGGAGCGACTGGGATAGCGAGTGCTGGGTAAAGAGTGGGTTCCCGTGACGAGAAAAGGAAAACGAGGGGAAAGTCGTTCAAGGGAGCGTCAGGGCCGCGTTTTAGAGACAGCGTGGTGAAGAGCATTTGGGGTGCTGCCCTGCACGCAGATTTAAGGAGTCGTCTAGTGCACAAATGCTCCCTGCCGCTCGCCATTGGTCGGCCGACCTTAAACTACAAACGGCGCTTGTCGATCCCCGAGAATAGCGACTCTCCTGAGCGCTTTGTGCAGTTCGTGACTTGCTGGCTGAGGATCGGTTCATTGAATATTGCACTCGCCTCACTCGCTGTCCGTTGCCGTCGTTTGGTCTCGAGCAGGCCGCAAACGACTCCCCAGCCGCTTGTGCGACCTCGCGCTATCGTGTCTCACCTGCATACCGCGGGTGGCTTTGCGCCAGGCCGGGAGCCAAGGAGATTGTGAAACACCAGGCACGCTGCACTGCGACCCTTGAAGCGACCGTCTGCTCTCTGCGCCACTCGCGCTGCCATGCGATATGCCGCTGCGATAGCGATACGATGTGGAGCACGAATCCTAAACGCTTAATGGATCCGCATCGTCATGGCCCACCATTGCCGGCCTGCGCGCCACTCTATACGAGCCGAATTGCCGTGCTGCGTCCTGAGGGAAAAGGCCGTTTGACCGTGCCCAAAAGAGTCCTTCACCCGTCTGTGCTTCTTCTCACACAGTTGTACCCCGCCGAGCCACCTCGTCCAGAGACCTCCTCTCGGCGTCATTACGCTCTCCGTGGTTTCCATCTATCGTATCCGGGATTTCTCTGCCATCGACCGCCGGCACGAAGAACTTGCCCCATGCAAATGCAGGACCGTCCATGGCAAACTTGCCCTGCATGCGCCAGCGGCCCATGTACACGTTGAGTGCGACGAGGACTTTGGCAAGACACGTCCAGTCGAAACCAAAGTACAGCCCTGCTCTTCCATCGGAAACGACATACTTGTGCCAGATACCCCAGAGAACGATGTATTCGGCCTGATCTCCTATGTCGCCATCGTCGACCGTCATCCGATGCCATTGCAGCAAGGCTCGCATGACTTCATTGCACGACTCCATGACCTGGCGCGGCGAGCGCGAGTGAATCACAGCCAACGTTTCGTATCGACAGCCAGTCTGCAGGAGCTGTATACACAGGAGCGCCTTCTCCATGCGACTCATTGAGCCAGAGCTCGCAATGAAGCCTGCATTGCTCAGCCACTCTTTGATCGCACGCAGCTCGTGAAGCTTCATGTAATGCAGATAAGGCAAGACGAAGCGAGCGTCCTCGATCCCTTGCATCGTCATCTCGGTGATCATGAAGCCATTGCAGCTACCCCGTCGCTCTTTGTACGGGTTGCGCAGAACAGGATCCATGTTAGCCTCCTCTTCTTGTACGCGCAGCTTGACTTCGTCTCTCGGTTGCGGGAACTTGAGGGGATGCGTTGTAGGTAGGTGTAGGCTCTCCGAGCATTGCGACGGCGCTCCGTGGATGATGAGACGCGGTAGTTGTCTCAGCGCCTCGAAGGCATTGGCGCGTCCTGCTCTCTGGACTGCAACTGCCGGGTGTATATCTCCGACTGGTAGGCCACCGGACATGAGGTATGTATCTTCGTAGTGGTCGCCTTCAACAGACCGTCCACGCACGTCAAGAGCGTCATCAAACCCCTGCTTCTCTCCCTCCGCTCCCCCGCGAACATACGCTTCAACCTTTCCATTATCCGTCGACGTATTCCTCCTCCCTCCATTCTGCGGGCCCGATATCCTGCGCAACTTCACGCCGGTATCACCGCCGCCCTTCGGTCCTCTCAACCTCTCCTCAAGCTTGACCACGTTCTTATACGACCGCCAAGCATGTCTCTTCGCATCTTTGACCAGTGCCTCAATCTCATCTCCAATCTCGCAGTATAAATTCGCATCGAGCTTCTCTAGATCGCGGTGCGCACTCTTCAGTTCGCGCTTGATCTCTGTGACGCGGGTGACGTTCGATCGTTCGTGTTCGGTGAGGCCTTGGAGCCATTGGATGTAGCTGCTGACACCGCGTACGTAGTCTTTTATATCGTCTAGTCTGTCTGGGATCGTGCCAACTGAGGGGTGGGGTGCGTGACGGCTTTTCGCTGCCGGTGTGCGTTCCTTCGATTGCGATTGCTCTGTAGTGGGTCCGGGGGTTGTTCCTGCATTTGCATCCGCATCCGTGCCTGCATCTGCGATTATCGATCGGCGCGGACTGAACGGGTTGTAGAATCGGCCCATTGTACTCTAATGGCTACGCATGTCGTGGCATGATCTTGTTGCAGACCCCGGGTGGTCGCTGCCAAACCGCTCTTCGCTTCGTGTACCCTTAAAGATCCACCTTTCGTCATTTGTATGGAAGGACATCTGGTAGGCTCCACATACTTGTTCCAATACTGACAAAGCTGTACAGCCAGCGTAGAATCATGAACATCGCATGCTGAAGCAGTGTGCTGACTGCTTTAATTGGAATTAGAATTAATACTCAAGATACCAAGCTAAACACCTATTCCATCCCAACAACATCCCCCAGCTCAGTCCATGGCCTAACAATCGGCTTTACTGTCCCTCTCACGCGCGTCCGCTGCTCCATCGCATACGCCAATCCAACAATCCTCGCATCCCTCCACCTCTCCCCCAAGAAACTGAACCCAAACGGAATACCCGGCGCCGACCCCACCAACCCATCAGGATCAACCAAAACCGGCTGCCCACCCCCCATAGCCCCCATCGGTATACTCACAACCGGCGCTCCAGCAACAGCAGCAAAGGACCAAGAAAACTTCGACGGTAAGACAACAGCATCAAGACCGTGCCGTTTTATCGTTCCAAGTAACCCTCCCTCGCCATCGTAGTACAGACCTTTTTGGTACGCTTGCCAGAATTCTGGGGTCGTGTTATTCCAATTCTCCAGCGCGAAATCCCAGACTCCGGTTGATTTGCCGGGGTAGCCTTCTAGTAGGCTTTGACGCGTCCAGTTTCGTAGTGAGGATAAGGTGGAGATGTTGTGCGGGTTGTAAGTGAGGCGTTTGAGGTACGACTCGATGTTTACGACGAAATCGGCGGACATGATTTGTAGGGCTAGGAGGGTGTCGTTTAGGAAGGCTTGGGCGGCTGGGAAATCGGTGTGGATGACTGATGCGCCTGCTGAGCGGAGGATGTCTAGGGTGGCGTTAAAGGCTGCGATTGTGGATACTGTTGTGTTGTCGGACATGAGGCTGATGACGTTGCGAGGGACGCCTAGACGTGCACCTTTAAGCGCGGAGCGTTTACAGGCGCCGACGAAGTCTTTGTCGACGTTGTCTGGGATGACAGAGGTGTAGTTGTCGTATACGTCGGTGCCTACGATGCTTTGGAGGACGTAGGCGGAGTCTTTGACGGTTTTTGTTAGGGGCCCGATGGTGTCCATGCGCTCGCTGATTGGTATCACAAGGTGCCGAGATGTAAATCCAACAGCTATCTTGAGTCAGAAGGCAACTCGTTCTTAGGTCCAGTTCAGCGTACTTGGCTTCATTCCCACGACATTGTTCACACTGGCGGGGTCGATGATCGAACCATATGTCTCGCCGCCCAAGGTGACGGTAGATAAACCAAGCCTTCATCATCAGTCGGTATCTACACGTTGGTATCTTTACTCACGAAGCTGCAACCGCACTTCCACTGGAACTACCAGATGGATCTTGATGAGGGTAGAACGCTCCGTAGGTTTGTCCACCATATGCTGACCACCCATTGCTCGAGTTCCATGGTATCCTAAAGCTGCCCCATTCGCTGGGGTTTGTCTTCCCTAAGATGATGGCTCCTGCTTCCCTGAGCTTCTTTGCGATAGTCGAATCGGATGGAACCTTAGCTCCAACGAGCGCGTAGGATCCAGCGGTGTTGTTCATCTTGTCTTTCGTGGCGATCTGGGATCGGAGTTAACTTTCTAGGAATGCAGATACATGTTGCTTCAGTCGAAGTGAAGTACTCACCGTGTCTTTGATGAGTATAGGGATGCCATGCATCGGTCTAAAAGTCAGCGGATGTCGTGAGTATCTCAAACCTTGTGCTCACCCTCGCACCATGCCCTTCGAGCGCTCCTCGTCAAGCGCAGTCGCTATAACCAGCGCATCAGGATTGACTTCGATGACTGGGCGCAAAATATCGTTCACTTCATTGATACGAGCGATATAAGTCTATCTGGCAGCGTCAACCAACAAGGTCGGGGATGGTGTTCAATGACAGCTACTTGCCTTGACAAGATCCACACTGGTGAAATGATTGCGCTCCAGGCCCATTTTCACCGTCTCGATATCGGCTTCGTACAAGCTCGGGAACTCACCTCTTCCAGCACGTTGATTGAAGTACCAGCTCGAGCTTGCGCCGCCGATGACCAGTGCGCCTAAGAAGACTCCGTAGATCATGATTCTTGAACAGCTACGCCGGCGAACGATATTATCGCTCGATTCATCGGTTGGTATACGGTGATATGATGGGCTCGTAGGGGCGCAGTAGTTGAGTAGTCTCTCAAGCGGATGCGGTAGCCACGACTTGGTCAACGTGTCTCCGGCAGGCATGGGACGGAGTGTGTCAGTGGCAGGCTTATAGTATCGACTGTGACAACACTTCTCTTCAGCTCGTATACCGCAACGTTCGACAACATTGAGAGCTCTGCTTGGTGGTGTCCTAGAAGTCAGTGCCCAGCTGCGGTAGGAGCGGGTGACTAGCGCAGAGTTCGGCCCCGCACCTGCACGACGATGACGGCAGCAAATCAATATATCGCAGCTTTCTCTCTACATCCCAACTCGATACCGTCTGTCGTCGTCGTCGTATCACCTTCAGTGGCTGTCCGACATGGTCGGTACTGACCAATTATTGTTCACATCAAGTTATTGCGCTTCTTCCCGAAGACGAACAGTTTCATCCAAACTTGGATAAAAAAGCAAACATGTTCCATTTTCGATCTGATCTACACTGCTACTTCTCTACGCCTTTTTCCTTCTGGGCTTCGCGCTCGAACTTGAAGTCTTTTCGCGAGGGACTTCGGGTGTGTACACGACTGGGTTGGTAAATCGGAAACGGTGGTTTACCAGGGCTGTTCGTCGGGATGGTCGTCTTCATGCTCGACGAGGTAAGCGAAGAATGACTATGAGTGACCGGTCGTTCGCCCTGCTGACGGGGTCCATCATCTCAAGGTCTGAGTCTGGCGGGCTACTCAGGGTCGACTCATTATCCGAATCCTCTTCAGTTCTGCCGTCCACCCTGTCCACCAACTGCCAGCTTTCGACTTCCTCTTGGCTTGGCCAATGTTTGAGCTCTTTCCAGTTCAACTCCCGCTTAATGGTCCTGAACCTATGCAACTCTATCGGATAACCAAGGATTTCTGGGGCGGCACGTTCTATCGAACTCGCTATCCGCTGCCACGCATATCCATGTCCCCTTAATTGCATGACGTTTGTCTCGTATGAGTCTAAGATCTCTTCGCAGTGGCAGGCATAGTAGTCTAGATATGCGTGCACAAGCTCGTGAAGAAGAGTGCCCAGACGTCCCAAGGCCACTCCGTTCAGACTTCCATAGGCTTTCGCTCCGGCTTGTTTGAAGGCACACATTTTGATCATAGGCAAAAGTCCCTTTTTGCCAAGTAACCGGCAATTGCCTGTCCGAGATGACGTATTCGTCCAATCTCGCCATCTGAAGGACACGTGCATGTGAGCGTCTGCTGAACAAGTTCGAAAAAAGATCCCCGAGAAGATGCCGATCAGATTTTTCATCTCGTCCTTGTCGACAGCGTTGCCATCTTCTCGCCCTAGTCTTTGCAACATTGAGTTGGCCGACCCGTCTTGACATAACGCGTCCCAAGCATTGTATGCTTGCTGTTGTTCGGAGCTGAATCCATCTTTACCCAGTCTCATGCTGCGCTGGACCTCATCAGCAAGTCGAAGGGCATGATGCTCTTCCCAACCCAAGGGTGCTCGCTGCCCATTTCCAGGTTGACCGGGACCTCCTTCGGAAGTAATGATGCCTTCACAACAGTGCCTACATGCTTGCTCGTTGGTCCGGTTCGGCAAATGCTGCGACTTTCTTTTTTCTTCCATCTCGATTACCATAGCGAGAAACTCATCAGGCGTATCAGGTGGGGTTTTGCTCTGCGGTGGAGTAGTAGAGGTCATGTTTGTACTGGACTATGTGGGATAGACGTTGAGCTTTCGTGGCCGTATTGTGAAGAATATTGAGCCTGTTGCTTCCTGGCTTCTCTGGTTCTTTGCGATAGACTTGCATGACCATTATATAGTATTGGCGACAGAAGTTTGATCTTGCACATGACGTTTCGACAACTTCTTCATAGCTTGTGACCTCAGCTTGAGGCATCTTCCACGCGCTCGTCACAATCGTAAGAGATTGAGTATTCGAGACGCAAATGCATCGGCGTGCCTTCAGATCGGATCCATGCGACCTGCGGAAGAAGCGTCTTGTGCCCAGAGAGCCCAACAAAAGCTCGGGTATGTGAACTCACAAGCTTTCTTCACTGTGAACTAGTCTGGCGTCATGCCATGCAGTGATCAGGAGACATATGAGTCGGAAGAATATATTTGAAGATGAGTCAAGTATCTTTCTACCGAGTAACAACATCGCTAACGAGACTTATAGCAGCTCTGGTAGACACTTCCGCATGCTATGCCCAATCACCACACCAGTTCCCATCCTTCAACTTCATCCTCCGTAGGCCAAAACAGCATATCATCCCAATTGTTGACAACAGCCTCAAAGCGACACAAATCAAGCGGAAGACCAAGTGTATCATTAGCGAAACGTTCCACAGACCTCGCGATCCTCTGCCAAACTCTTCCATGTCCACCCAACTGCACAAGATCTTCTCGGTAAGATGAACAACACGGGCAGGCATAGTAGCCGACGTAAGCATGTACAAGCTCATGAAGCAACGTACTCATACGAGACATGGCCCTACCGCTCAAGTGACGAAAGTCTCGAAACGGTCTGATTTCCGATGCAGACAATCTCACTACCGCATATGGCTGATCTGGACCCGCGCAAGTGCAGTCACCCATGCTACCCGGGTCAGATGGCTGGTCTGACCAGTCAAACCGCACTTTCATCCTATCCCACGGCGTGGTTTGGAAGAAGATTGTTGTCAGGAGCATGATTAGCCTTTCTATTTCCCACCTGTTCACGCTACGGGCGTCTCGGTGACCGAGCCGCTGCAGCACTGCATGTTCGGAATGGTCTTCGATCATGCCGTTGAAGAGTTCGATGGCTTTAAGCTGATCATCTGTGAGGTGCTCACGGCTGACTTTTGACCTATGCATCATCAGATCGCTGAGTTGAGAAGCCTGATGACGCCAGAAGCGCAATGGCGTCCGCTCGTCGGCCTGATTGCCAAGCTTGTTGTGGACGAATATGGTTTCGATGACGGTGTTGCGGCAGTTCTTGCATGTTATGGGGGATATTTCATCTTGTGAGAGCTTGGCGGGACTGGCCTTTTGGTACTCTTTGACCATGTGAAGAAACTCGTATGGAGTCCTGGGAGGCTCGCGCCGCTGTGATGGTTGAACACCTTCGTAACGACGGGAACGCGACGTCAGCTTATCAGTTCTTATGGGTGGCATTGTTTGGCCTTTGATAATGGATAGAGAGAGTATATTCATGCATATCCTCCGAGGTAATACACGGTACTTATCGATGTGAATAATCATTAGATGTCTCGATGTGAGCGAGACATGGAAGACCAATAAATCGGCACAGATACATAGGATGAGAGACATGCGAAAAACCCACATGACATTGGGGCTTTTGCTTATACAACGATCAACGTTTGATTTGCTAACTACAACACATCAAGAGGTTCAATCTCCCTGATACCCTAAGTTATCGTCCGTTCCAAGTCCCACTCTTTGACTTCTTGCTGAGTTGGCCAATATAGCGGTACACCCCAATTAGCTTGTATGGAGGTGAATCTATTCAGAACCAGTGGTAGGTGAATGAAACGAGGAGCATTGTGTTCCACCGAGCTCGCAATCCGCTGCCACGCTAGTCCGTGTCCTCGAAGTGATTCAACATCTTTCACAAACGATGGGCATCTACAAGCGTAGATACCCAGATATGCGTGCACCAGCTCATGAAGAAGGGTACTCAGGCGTGACATGGTTCTGGCAGATAGGTTTCCGTAGGGCGAAGCATCCATGTAGTTGAAAGCCGACATTTCAATTTTGGGGTGCACATCGCACGTGTAACGGCCAAAATAATCGTCGTTGCAGGTTTTCCATTCGAAGTCAAGCTCCATCTGATAGTCGCGGAAGAAGATTGCTGACAAGAGCTTCATCAGATACTTCATCTGGTCTTTGGAGACGCTGCTTGCATCATACCACCCCAGTCTTCGCAGTAGAGAGCCCGTTGCTTTGTCCTCTAGCAGTTCTTTGAAGGATGCGATCGCATCTAGCTGCTCATCATTGGCAAACTCAGGTCCCTCTGACATGATAGCTTTAACTTCGTCGGAAAGTCGGATGGCATGATGGCTGGTCCTTCGCAGTGGGTCGCGCTTACGTGTTTGGTTTCCCAGCTTGTTGGTGTACTTTACAGCGCGGATGGCTTTGTCACAGGGGTTGCGGCATTTCAAATTGTTTATCCAGGTCCCGAACCGCTGGTGACGGGTTTTGTTGTGACGATCGATGATCATGTCGATGTAATCCCGTGGCGTCTTCGGATAATCAACGTCGAGAGAAGTCATAGACAGGTTGTATGCATCGCAAAGTCGTCTACCCATGATGGATTGGTTGTATCTCTTTTCCAGAGAAAGGCTGCCTGGGTTATCATTTGTTGAGCTACTTGCTTGCGATGACATCGTGTGGTGGCTATATGCGTACTGGGCCGTAAAGTCTCACGATATTTGAGACGCCCCAAAGCTCGGCCACAACAAGTCGCACCAGATTGAGACATTGGATCTCTACAGTGATGTGAATCAGTCGTAAACACATGATTCGAAACTCTGAGAGACTTCCTCTCGCGACTTTTACGACTGGAAAGGTCTAGAGCCGCGTACCACAGAAGTCGTGAACAATGAGCCATACTCACAAAGGCAGAGGCAAACAGGTCTCAAGATATGAAGTGAGATCTATCTGCGCCTTGTTCAGCCTCTACCCATCACCGGATACTCTACTATGGCTTCAAATGGACTCAGCACCGCTCACTCTACCGTAGCACCTTTAACAGACCCCAAAAAGCTCTTCTACCACCTCCTCCTAGCCCTAACCTTTGGCAAAACATGCCTCTGTGACTCTGAGGGTTGCGCAACGTATCTCTACCTGAATCACCCCATCTCTTGCCGTTTGCACCATCTCCCGAACGAGATCTCCATTACCCCCGGTCAGCGACCCTACATCATGGTCAGGTCACATATGAGACCATACGAAGCCCTCCAACTAGTCCGCAGCTCCACTCAGTACTTCAGCAGAGTACAGAACGATATGGACCCCGCGCAAATTCAAGCGGTAACGGAAGTACGGGAATGGCTCCAGGAGGGAGGTCTGGACATGAAGCTCGGGTCGCGTGATGCACGCGTCACCCTCATTGTCGATGAGATGACAACACTGATTACACGTCTGATAATCGTCTTCTTCTTCGGTGCAGCAATCCCGTTTGATTTCGCTTGGGAAACAGGAATCTTGGAAACAAACGACTGGCTCGGCGTCACTTCGCCATTAGATCACAATGGTGTGGAAGTTCAAGTTATCGCCATACATCCCACCAAAGTCAAACTGGACGTCACACTCGCTCCCAACTACATCAGAGCTCTGGCAATACAACGGCTTTCTACGTTGATGCATGAGATCATTCATGCCGTGCTCAATACACTGTGTTGTAGGGATTGCTATGCTTCGAATGATAATCTAGCGCAGCACGGGAGGGCGTGGCAAAGGTTGGCGTTGGGTGTTGAGAGGGAGTTTGCGCGGTTGTTCGGGTTGGACCTTGACTTGGGCAGGATGTACGGTGTTTTGAACGACATGGTAAACGTGGGTGCTGATTTCAACCATCCGAGTAGACACGATTTGGTGACGTATGGGTTTGCGGAGGCGTTGGATGGATGATGGCAGCCAGGAAGTGGCTGGTCTGATATTGTTTGCTTATAGCAGAAGGAATTAACTTTGCTTTTCCTCAAATTCATGCTTGTATGTGCTAATGCATCATTTTGACTGTTGGCAGATTGAATGAAGCATGGAGGAGAGGGGAGGGTCGAGAGATGACCTCGCACTGGCCTTTTCTTGGCGCGCATGACTAAGCGAGACGCGAGAATGACGCGGGTCTCACAAGGCACACGAAGCATCACAAACATCGCTATCGACCTAGCCACAGGTCCGTCTGCGCAAGACTTGCTATCTCGCTTTCATTCTATCGATGTCTATGTATCTATCGCGATAGCGCCACCTCTCTTTCGCGTCGCACCGGCACTCTGGCTCTGTTGTGCCTTCCGCATGCGAAAAGGGAAAACGAAAGCCAGCTCAAGCTACTGTGCTCTTTACCCAGATGTTCAGCGTCGCCCTTCAGCCAAACCTACTACAAGACTACCTCGACGATGGGCCCGACATATGTCTTTCTGCCTCTTACGAAATACCAAATGACGGCAAAGAGTACGGTTCCTCCGAACGTAACTGAACTGAAGTTCATCGACTGTGCATTGACCTCAACGGAACCCGGCCAGAAGGAGAAGAACCACATCACGAACAGATAAATGCAGGCAAAGATGTTGTTGGCCACGCCCAGCACGCCGGGAACTCTCCATGGACCCCATTGTAATGTCTCCGGTCCGACCATTGCGGCACGCGAGTTGTACGGGCTGATGCCCTTGAGACGCCGCCAAAGGAGAAGGACGCATACGATGAAGTACGAAGCGTAGAGGCCCCCGATACTGAGGTTGACGATGTTGCTGAAAGCGACGAAGGAGCCGAGCGCGATGAACGACAGGAGCACGCTGACGGCAGCTGTGATAAGGATCGTGTTGACCGGGATCAAAGTTGTAGGATTGAGCTAACACCATCGTCAGCTACTTCAAAGTTCGAATCGTTATACGAGGGCGAATTGAAGGGGTCATACCTTAGTGACCTGCGCTGAGAACGGCACAGCTCTGTCTCTTGCAAAGGACCACATCTGCCGCGAGGTTGCGGCCATGAGACCTACCAGGCAGCAGACTCCAAGAAACCACATGATCAATGCCATGGCCATAGCCCCGCCCGGAGATCCAGTGCCTTTCAAGAAGACATAGAGGTAAGCATATCCAAGAGTGACTGAGTTCTCCAAAACATCATTCAGGTCCCCCAGGCAGAAGAGGTATGCGACCATCATAGCAAGTCCAAGTGCGCCGTTGAGGAACACGCTAATCTGGATGGCTCGCGGCACTACCTTGGATGCGTTCTTTACTTCTTCGGCCATCTACATGCATGTCAGTTCCTTGGATTTCGACCAATTCGGGCGAATGACATACATGAACACATGAGTCGACACCTGGGAGGAAAGATTAGTATATTGCCTTCGTCGAGTCTGGTGTCTTATCACACTTACCGACTAGCGCGAATATTGACGATGGTAGCCCTACCATGAAGGACAAGCCCTGGGTTGACCAACCACCCGTGTTGACAAATGTGACGAAGATTGATGCGTCATTGTGAGGAGCGAGATATACGAGAGGAATCAGGATCGCAAAGAACCCCAGAATATGCAATATCAATATCACGCCTTCGAAATGCGCGAGGGTCTTGCTTCCGATAGTATTGATGACAACGGCAAACGCGGTCACTGCCCAACCGAGCAGCATGGCTTGGTACGGTTTGGGGGAGTAGTCGTCGTGGAGGATTAGAATCACGCTCTGTAGTATTGTTCCAGCTAGGTACGCTGAAGAAGCAGTGGTTGCTTGCCAGCCTATCAACGTCACCCATCCCGTGATATAGCTGAGAAACTTTCTGGATGACGGTGGAGCCAACATTGCGACCCAACTACGATCCGTCAGTAAATAAGCTTAGCCGACGCTTAAGAGAGGCTGCTTACTGGTACTGGCCACCTGCGGTAGGTGCCATCGAAGACAACTCAGACAGGACGGTGTAGATGGAGATTGAACCGATCCAGATAAGAAGATACCCCCAGAATACGCCGGCAGGACCACCGTTTAGGAGACTTGGGGTAGAAACCCTGCGGCACTGTTAACAACTTATAGCAGTCTATCATTCTGACATCGAACTTACGACAGGATACCTTCCCAAGTCACCAGGACGGTACAGGAAAACCCCAAGATTTGCATGAACCCGAAGGTTCGCTTCAGTTGCGGCTTCTTACCCAGACGAATGAGATCTCTCTCATCCCGAGTGTAGCTATCACGGTCGGCGTCTTCGACGGCGGAACTGACTGCTTCTGCTTTCGTTCTGTTGCCGAGCTCCATGGTGGGGGTAAGGTATGCGACAAAAGAACGACAGTGATAGATCGTAATGAACGACGTGACGGATTCGAGGGGAACAAGAAGTATGTACGAAGTGTTAAACCCGTATTCCAGCAGCCTCGCGTCCAGATGTCGGTTATGCACAAATTCATCCAGATTGTTTCGCTAGTCCAATCAAGCAGGTTACATACTGCGCCGCAACTTCTATCGCACAGCATGCCGCGCGGGGATCTTGATAGGAGGGTCTGCATGATGTCTCGACACTTCTTTACCTTACGCAACCCAGCGATATACTCACGAGGCCCTTCATTTCCCTTCTGCGAGTACAGATCGCGAGCACTTCCAACAGTCTGAAACGCGTGCTGCACACTGCGCAATCTGTCGCCAACCTCTCTATCCCCTCCAGCTCAACAATCTCACTCTCCCCTCAATGCGGAGATCTTTACTCACTACTCTTCCTGTAGGATCCGGGTGGAAGTATCCTAGTTGCCGCGGATGTTACCGTCCCGAGCGTTATCAGCGTTGGCTAAGCCTCGAGCGTGTGGATCAGCCGCTATGGTCGCACAAACACCCACGACATCAACACGTCCTTTGTCCCTACCTTCCTTTTTCCTCAGGCAACTGCATTTCGACAGGGTGTTCATGCGCGTTGTCTTGCGTCTGATTGGTGGCCCAAGGTGATGCGTCTGCGCGGATGCGGCGCGGATCGTTTAAGCGACCTATTACACCGTGCCAAACGTCTTGATGCTTGTAAAGCGTTCCGAAAGCTTGTCTTGCTGGCTATCACCAGATAAGTAATCAGCCTGTATCCTTGACGTCTTACGCGTCGTGGAATATGCAGGTTAGCGAAAGAAGCCAGAGACTCGTATGTGTGCGTGGGGGTGGTGCTAGCTAACTGGTGTACATCAAGAATCCTACGAGGGGGAAGAGTTGGAGATGAGTGTGTCAGTATGTTATGTGGTTGCTTTGGTGTTGAGATGTCCGTGAGCACCATGTGATTCCTGAGTGCTGGAACGAGGCACAGATAACGAAACGGGGGAGTCGTCCTCTTCGAATTGGGCTATATCCTAATGTTCACGCTGCTCGAATGGTAGTACCATCTCAGTCACTGCTAGAAGCATAATTTTACCATGCTTTCTGAACGCAAGGCTATGGATGCTGGCAAGCGTCCTGCCTTCCACGACGGCCATGCAGCACCGTTGATCCAGATACTCGCCTGGCTATTTCTAGCTTTCTCCACATTAGCTGTTGTAGCGCAATTTGCGACGAAGAAAGCCATGCCTAGGCGACTGGTAGCTGCGGACTTTGTTCTGCTAGCGGCTCTGGTGAGTATTCCGGGATTAGAGCAAGACATAGACACACTGATGAGTCTCTCCCTAGGTGTTGTCGGCGGGACAAGCCGCGACACTTCTCAGTCCAGCTGGTCAGGCTATTGGTAACGTACAAGCTGGCCTTACGACAGATCAGATTGATGGGGCCTGGAAGGTAAAGCCGACGAACCTCTTGGAATGCGGCGCTGAATAGATCAGGCTTTATTCAGCAGCGAGATCCTCAGCGTCCTTACGATTGTTGCCGCCAAAGGCTCGCTACTTGTCTCTCTGACATTGGTGACGCCCGTTGCTAGTCATCAGAGGATGATGTATGCCACTGGTGTTGTGACGCTGCTTTGGGGGTTTAGTGCCGTTTTCCTCATTGCCTTCCAGTGTCCGTCACCACGAAGATGGGATATAACCAACCCAGAGTGCATAGATCTTGTAAGTTCAGCCGATGATATTGCCGGTTCTATGACTCGAACTGATGGATCTAGCGCGCCGTACGAACCTACAATGCTGTCATGAACATCACGACCGATCTTGCCCTAGCCATCGTACCTACGTTGATGGTGCTACCGCTGCAAATCACATCCGATAAATGCCTTACACTAATCACATGCTTCTGGTCGCGCATAGCGTAAGTATAGTTTTACCAACATTAAGCTTGCACTAACAGAAGGTCCCGCAGCGTCATATTTGCCTCGGCCGCCCAAATCGGATACATCCACACCCTACCCCTACCCAGCGACCTCCTCCATTCGATATGGCGCATAGTCGTCTGCGGACAGATAGTGCAAGTGACGAGTATCATGACTGCGACGATTCCCTTCCTGAAGCCTTTCATGATGAGTCTCGACTCGGGTCTACTTAGCGCAAATCAAGCTTGTGTTGCGACGACATCCGGCTTTACCTCCACAGGGCATGCGGGCCAATTGTCGAGCTACATCAAGATTGCTAGTCAGGGCAGTCGCAACCCATCTTCTACCAGAGGAGATAAGGATGCCGATATCTGGGTGCGGAAGGAGGTTGTAGTGAAAAGAGAGCCGAGTATTGAGTTACGTGGCATGGGAAGGAGTAGGTAACGCAGGATCGCCGAAGAAGGGTCATATGTCGTAGCCATCTTCAGCTTCCGCGTTGCACTAGATGTTCTGTTGCAAGCAGTATCAGAGCCTCATCCTCTCTCGATTACGTCAAGATATGCGTCGCCCCCGGACCACTCTACATTGCGCGCAAGGCGCACCTTCCGTTCACCTTCACTCACACGCGACGCACGACCGTTCCACAAGATCCACCTAGCTAGGCAGCGCTTTCCCGACGCGCAAACGCTCGTCCAAGTAGTGACGTACCGTCATCACCGCGCTCTCACCTCCTCAGTCAAAAAAGCTCCTTCCACCTACTTCCACCTGCCTCCCACCTTCCTTCATTCCTTGCCTCCCACGCCAAATCAACCTAACCACCACCACTCACTCAAAACCATGCGCTTCCTCACCACCATCTTCCTCCTACTCGTCAGCCTCGCCGCTCTCGCAAGCGCGAACAACGATAAAAAGAGCGACGTGAGGAACTTCAGGGATGTCGTGAAAGATTGCGTTGTCGCGTGCAACTACGGTCCTCACTGCGCGCACTATTGCGAGTGCAAAGTGTACAAGCTTCTAGGCAAGAAAATCAAGTGTAACAATGATCCAAGTATGTGAAACAGCTGATACCCTGCGGCAGCCATGGGAGTGGGAGTTGGGGATATTTTGCTAACACAGATTCTAGCGTGCAAGAAGCCAGGGCCTAAAGGTTGTGAGAAGTACGAACTCAGTGGCAAAGTTCGTCGAGACGAAGATACTTCTGCGGCCGTTGATCAGGCTGCGTCTGCGACTGTTGAGGAGGCTTCGTCCGCGACTGCTACTCAGGTCGACCCCGGAACCATCAATTACAACCAAGACGCTCCCGAGGACTTTGTTCAGACTGCTGATGTCAACGGCGACGACAACACCTGCGCAACACAGGGCTGCTCCGCTGCCTTGCCGTATTGCCTCAAGGCGTGCGGCTTTGGTCCCCATTGCGAGGGTTACTGCGCCTGCATGTTGCACTCGAACCCAAAGTCAATCTGTCGCCAACAAGGTACGTGATAACACTCTAGCTCAGCGAGAGCTTCATTCCAATTCTATCTATATTAACTCTACCACAGGCTGCGTCGAGGCTCCTCAAGATTGCGATCAATGGGAGTTCACCGACCACGACATTGCTCTTGCTGGCCCGGAGACTGCCGACTACGAGCAAGTCGCTGCCGCTGCGAACGCTCGGGAGGGAAGCGACGATGGAGACGTCAACAGCGAACACTGCAAAGCTTGCCGCGATGCGGGGTACGAATGTAGCAAGAAGTGCGGCGCTGACGATATGATCTGCAAGGCTCTATGTCTGTGCGCGAGCACTGCGGAAGATAACTGCGGCAAGTGCAAGTCTGTCGACTGCCCACGCACTTAAGGGTGAGGGGACGTCGAGTGTCGGTATGAGCGATGATGGTAATTCTGACCAAGGTGTTGGAAGCTGGATGAGACTGCGGGTTTTCGGGTTCACGTCCGAAACTGAAGGCGGCTCCTGGTCTTCCTTTCCCAAAAAGGATCACGATCTTCGTAGATCTGATATCTAATGACACGCTTCCTTCTTGGTCATCATCTTGGTTTATATGCGTGACGGGTAAAAGTGCGCGGTCGTTCTTGAGGTACCCGTAATAGTCGTTGTGATCGCAGTGAAGCTCATTCGTCTCAGGGTGGTTGGAAGAGCTGGGCCCGAGTATGGAGTCGCATCTCGATGTGTGAGGTCGATGCAACGTGCCGATCTTTCACTTGATGGGCTTCCTCGCGTAGACGACTGTCCCAGGCAAGTATGCGTGCGTCCGGTAACTCTTCAACTCCTTGCGCATCTGCGCTAGATGCAGCTGAGCTCGTGCAACAGACCACTGCGTCATGTCAGCTTAACCCACCACGCCAACCTCAGCAATACTCACACCGCCAACCTGCGTCAACAGCCTCAACATAAACCCCTCGACCCCATCCATCAACCTCAGCTGATTCCACCGCCCAATATTCTTCAGCTTCTTATCCGTCGGCCACCCATTCATCGGCCACTTATACTCCATAACCTGTACATCCACAAATCCCGCTCGTCGTATCCTCTCAGCACTCTCCTCCCAAATCGTAAACGTCTTGCCGAACCGATCGCCCATCTCCACCACCACTTTGCCCCAGGTATGGTAGAAGTGGTCTGGACCCATTGAGCCATCATCGGATGTAGGACACACGGAATGCTCTACTATTTCAATCCAGCCGCCCGGTTTAGTGTGCTTGTAGGCTTGCTGGAAGAAGAAGTCCCAATCTGGGATGCAGCCGAAGAGCTCGCGGATGTGGATGAAGTCGAAGTGGTTGGGCGGGAAGGTCCATTCGAGCGAGACGTCGTCGATTTCGAAGTGGCAGTTTGGCGGGACCCATTCGGGTTGGATGGGGGAGAGGTCGGTTCCTGTTACTGTTGCTGAGGGGTATTGGTCTGCCATGTCCTGGTTACGTGTTAGCATATGTTGTGGGATATGTCTGGGAAGCGTACAATTGCCCATATCCCGGTCCCTGTGCCGCAATCTAATATCGTCTGCGGATTCACCAGCGGCGCAAGATGCAGCTTCTGGTCGAGCGTCAGGAGGTACATGTGGTGCGCGAAGTCCAGTATTTCCTTGGCCAGCTCATCATTCGGGCCCCAGTATGCGCCGTCGCGGTATGCGTGGTACTGCCTGCCATTCTCCATGCGGTGGTGGAGGATGGACGAGGCTAGCGAATCGGTCTCGTCGCCAAGGAGGCTGCCGCTGTCGAAGGCTGAGTCGGACGAGAAGCCAAGGCCATCGTCGTCGTCTACGGGGGAAGCTTCGGAGTCTTGTGGCGCTGCGTGGTGCACGGGGGCGTGTTGTTGTGGGTACGAGCTGGAGGAAGGCGCGTCGTCTCCTAGATGCACGGCGCTATCCTGCTGGTGCAAGCCGATGCCCTCGAAAGGCTTCTGCGAAGATGAAGACGCCATGGTGCTGTCGTGTGAGTGCGCGACGAGGAAGAGTGAGAGATATCGACGCGACGCCCGGAAACGACGGGTTACATATTGGAGAGTTGGAGCCGATGCACTGGGAAGTTGCTGGACGCTGGCCGGCCGCTGACTCTCGTTTGGAGGCGTCTGTCAATGGGCGAGGGGTCTCTGGCAAAGTGGAGCATTGCACCGATGGCGCCGCGTTCGCGCAGCATCCCCGAGTAGATCCAGCGGATCGGTCGTCTGCTCCGGTCGCTGCCATTCGTTGATGCGCGTGTAATGCACGCGCAAAAGGAACGGTGCTGCATCGCCTGCATGGCTGTTAGAGGCGTCGGGGTAAGCGCGTGCTGGCGGCACTCTACCGACGTTGTACGAAGACTCTGGGTGTCCGAGACAGTCAGGCCATTGGCGAGCCTGCCAACAACGTCAAAAAGGAGGGTGTCGATGAATGCATCTCGTGATTGATGGCCTGGCTCATTTGCGGGCCGCAGACGGCGTCATTCCCTTCATCGCCGCTGTCTAATCGGCCCTTTTGGCAGGCGGGACGGGTTGGAGAGGGTGGGCCAAGAGCACCTCTACAGTGGATACTCGAACTTTGTTGTAGAAGACGAAGAACAGGTTGAGAGTATGACCAAAGTCCATCGATGATCTCAGGCGACTTGACATGGAAAAACCAACTGCCGACGGCGAAGCCATTGCGGCGCAGCTCCCTATCCTCGTCATTGGTTCTGGTAAGCGAAGGTGACGCCGCATACATGCTGCACCACACGGTCTGACCAGCTCGCAGGAACCGCTGGACTTGCACTCGCACAGGGGCTCCGCAAAGTATGTACACCGTCTGGGTAATGCAAAGAGTAGCCTCATTCGAACAACTAGGCGAATATCCCGTGCGTCGTGTTCGAAAAGAACGCTGCCACGCATGGCGAGCGCGACTGGAACATGGGCCTTCACTGGGGCGCGCCAGTCCTGAAAAGCCTCATGCCAGATGGCTGGTGGGACCGCATCCAGAGCGTCCAGGTCGACCCGAATGTCCCCACGAAAGAGCAGGACACGTTGAAGTGGCTGCGAGGCGATACCGGAGCGCTGGTTGCAGCCATCACCTTCGGGCCTTTCTACCGCTTACGGAGGAGCAAGTTGCGCGACTTGTTAATGCAAGGCCTTGACATACACTTCGACAAGCGCTTACACGACGTCTCATACTCACCTGATGATGACTCAGTCACTGCCCATTTCGCCGATGGAACTTCGACGACGGGACGCATGCTGGTTGGCGCGGATGGAGCACGCTCTTCCACCAGGCAGATTCTACTTGGCAAAGAATTGGGCTCCATCAACCACATTCCGTATGCGTGCACGTTTGTCCAGTGCAAGTTTACCGCCGAGCAAGCCCGTTTCCTGCGGTCGTTCCACCCGCTGTATCTAGCATGTGCGCACCCGAATAACAACTTCGCCTTCTTCGGCATGCATGATGCGCCGGACGAAGATGACCCGGCTTCCTGGACCTTCTTCTACTACATCTCGTGGAGAAGTAGTTTGAAAGAGCAGGAAGCCACAAAGAACTGGACCGGTGCCCAGCGCCTGGCGCAACAAAAAGAATTCGCAAAAGAGTTTTGCGACCCGTGGAGGAGTGCGTTCGAATGGACGCCAGACTGCACGCCGGTGTGGTATCTCGGGCTCACGGACTGGGACCCGGGCATGGAAGGTCATCGCTGGGATAACCATCGCGGCTTAATTACTATGGTGGGCGATGCTGTGCATCCGATGACGTACCAGCGAGGTCAGGGCCTCAATCACTCTGTTACAGACGCTGGCAAGTTGTACGAAGCGATTACTAAAATTCAGGCTGGCGAGGACAGGAAAGCTGCGGTTGATGCGTTTGAAGAGGAGATGATTAGGCGTGGGGGTACGGAGGTTAGGGATGGCACGGCAAATACCATGATGCTTCATGATTGGGAACGCGTTAAGCAGAGTCCGCTTTTTACGAAGGGGATGAAGAAGACCGATGCTTAGGGGTTGGTAGATTTGGTTC